GCTTCTCTTGAACTCATTTTATCAGTTAGTATGATGTAGGATCAACTGCAGTTCAAAATTTGTATTAAATGATCAGTATACAAAAATATATCAGATAAATCTCAAACAATAATATGCACGCATTCAAGACTTAGACAAATTTAAGCACACAAGCTTATCCGGATTAGAAATCCGAACAAAGAAGACTTGAACTTTTCAACAAAAGGAAGTTATCCGGATTAGATATCCGGACAACAAAAGACTTTAAATCGCACAAAGATATCATGTAATCCGGAAGTGAAATCCGGTGAGTTTCAACACTTAGTCAAAATTTAAGCAATTAAAGAATTTCAATACGGACAAAGCAAAACTCAATATGGACAAGGCGCAAAAATCAATTTGGATGAAAAATCTCAAATAAGACGATTACAACACTTAGCCAAATTTTCAAAAATGTAATACGGACGTAAAAAGTCAAGAAGTCAACAAGACAAGGTCAACTAAGTCATCTAGTCAAAGTATGAACAAGTCCGCTTAAAATCAAATCTCTCAAAAAGTCAAAGATTTAAATCGATCACAAGTGAAAGTCAAAATCCGTTCACGAATCCGTTCATGGAGTCAAAGTCAAAGTACGGTCAAACAATCAAAATACGATCACTCAACACATTCAACAATTCAACAAGATTAAATCGCACAACGTTACACTTAAATCGCTCACTAAATCGTTCAGGTTACAACTGGACTTCGATTAAATCGCACAAAACACAAGATAAATCGCACAAAACATAAACGACTTACCAAGCGGATTATCTAAATCGCTCACTAAATCACACAAGAGTCCAACGATTTACCTTTTAATCCGATCAAGACTTACCCGGTTTAACCTAATCCGATCAAAATCAATTCACAAAAACTACAAGTATTAAATCGTACAAGTTTTAAGCGATATTCACCTAAATCGATCAAGAGTTAACTGGACTAATATTCAAGCAAAAACACAATTTTAACACTTTTTCACCAAAAATTTGGATCAAAACATGAAAAATTATGAATTTTGAAGAACACCAGCAGATTTCGAAAACTCAAAAATCGATCAAAATAGATTCAAAACTTGTTTAAACTAAAAAATAATGTGAATCAAATTTGTTCTAAATCAGATTGCGAATCAAACGATGTAAGATTTATCAATTAACAACTAAAACTCAAGCGATTTACGCCTAAATTCAATTCTGGAACGATGAACTCTATGAACAGACGAAGAACAACATAAACTCAGATCGATCAATCCTCTAAAAATTCGTGCAAAACTTGATAAAATTGTTAAATCCTCTAATCAAATTGCTGCAACTTACTCTGATACCAATTGAAATGTCCAAATTCATACAAAACTGATCATGATCTTCAAGAAGTTATGAACAAGATGAAGAGAGAAAATAGATCACCAAAAATCTCTTGTATTGCTTGAGAGAGAATTACAGCTAATCAGAGAATTACAGAATTGCTTAATGACTAATTACAAAGCTAAACTCTATTTATACTAAGGAAAGCATTAAACTAATCTATTACAAAACATGTAAAATGGAGAACTTGAATACAACAATAACGTACATACTTGAACCCAACAATGTGTTTTATGAAAATGTGGATTGGAGTGTTACAGGGGTCACCATCGCCACCAATGTTGCCAATACCGTCGTTACCACTATCGTCTGCCTCCCTCCACCACGTTGTTGTCATTACCACCACCATCATCGTTACTTCCACCTCCATTACTATTTCCATCGACAACGCTACTGTCTCTACGCACCACTACTATTTTATTCAACGAACCAAATAGATAGATTCAAATTATCTTTATAAGTTCTATTCCAATTACTGTCAACTAAAGCATGGTCAAACATGATTAAATCTCATTCTAATTTCTTAGACAGATTCCAATTCCGACGTTGCTTAAGAAAAAGATCCATTTGCAAATCTGTCTACCTGGTGAAAACCAGCCCCATCTCCGTTTTTGTAGTGCTAGTAAACTTAAAAAACCATAGCTTACTTTGATAGGTTTGGACGAAGTTTGCATAAACTCGATGTTTTTGAGTCAATTTAACAATATTTGTGATGAATTTTGGTTGCAACAACCCATCAAATCACGTAATATGTAACACATAATTTTACATATACCAAATCATATTGATATTACACATTGGGTCTCAATCCAACGAAACTATACAATCATCTGAAGTCCAATACAATTTTTTTTGACAACATAGTGCACATATAAAAGACCCATAATGCCACATATCAAAAGCAGACTTAAAACATTCCTTAACAAGATTCACTTGTAGACATCTAATAGTCGGATTCAGATTTTTCCTTTTGCTTTACTCTTTATATGACGCTTCCCTGAAATGCATATTTTTTGAAACAAAATAAGGATTTGATCATACGATCTAGTAAGGTAATCCTTGTTAGTGCAATAATGCAATAAAAACCAGTTCCTATAAAACCTTTCAAAATCAGTAATCATATAGTTGGCTTTCAAGCACTACATCCTAATCAGTTATAAGGTTGGCACCCAAGCACAACATCGTTGTTAGTTGTAAAGTTGGCACCTAGGCACAACATTGTTGTTAATCATAAAGTTGACAACCGGACATAAGATTGTCATTAGTTATAACATTGACACTTAGGTACAATCAATTGTAATAATATCGTAACACAGTCAATAGTAACAAATTAAACATACCAATGAGGCATCATACATAATAATAACCATTTGATAACATATGCATTTTAGTTCGAAAAGATTATAAGCAAACTCACCTTGATCACGGGGATACTCTAAATTATCTGATAATGAATACTTGAAACTGAATAAAGGAAGCATAAACTATATAGATAGATAGATTCAATTTTATCTTTAAACAAACTCTAAGAAATTTTGAAATGAACCAATAAAACTCAGCTAATCAGGAGATAAACTTAAACTCAAACCTCAAGAACCAAATTTTAAAAAGAATTAACGATACAACAACCAATTCTACCACAAATCAAACCCTTATGGCCTTACCTAAACTCAAAGATAAAAGTTAGAAAACATCATACCTTAAGAGCAACAAGATTTAAACCAAAACTTCCAAAACCCTATTTTATTCCTTTCATTGGGTACGATTTCTTTTGGATAGCACAAAGACACACACATACACACACTTATCAAAACTCAATTTGGAAGGTATCAAAAGGAGGCAGGGCTTTTATGTGAAGCCACCTTCCAAATCTAAACCCTTAACTTTAGATAATAAACATTAATAGCCTCTGAACTTTTAAGTCTTTCAAAACTAAGACTCTCAACGGTATTACAACGATGTTCAATGGTATTACGTTTGAGAGATTGTGATTAACACCATGATGAGTTTTGTCTCTTCATGCGGGACGATGAAGACCACAAAGTGAGAGGGACACACACACACACACACACACACACACAGAGATAGAGTGTGTGTGTGGTAAAAAACAATTAATTAAAAATGGAAGGTGAGTAAAAGACAAATTTGCACTCATATGAGGGACACATGCATATATTTAAAGGAACTCCATTAACGGTGTTAACTCGAGGGATCAGGGTGCAAGGAAAATAAAACTACAAACCTTTAATGTAAATAATATGTTTGAGTGACTAGATGGAAATTTTGAGCAAACCACAAGGGCCATTGGTGTAATTCACTCTTTTGATAAAGCAAACCACCAATTAGGGGTTATTTGGCAGTTGCTGAATGGTTTGGTACATAATGATTAAATGATCAGAATGATTAAGAGGCTTTCATGATATAGTGCAAAATGAAATATAATTGTTTGGTAATTGTTTACAATAAAAATAGGGCGCTGAATGGTTAAGGGAGGCCCATGATGCAAAATCATTCAGAGGATTTTAGAACCATTAAGAGGTAGACTTTTTTTGCCAAACAAGATTCACTTCTTAACGATTCAAAGACTGCCTCTTAATGGAACTATTAAGAGGTAAACAAACAACCTCCAGTCAATCACACCCTCTTATTTATACCTTAATATAAAATATTGAATTTACAAAAATATCCTACAAACTAGCTAACATTTAATAATTACAGTCTGGTCTTTATTTGGTTTATTTCGATCCGTCAGTTCCAATCCAAATATCTATACGTATGAGTATGAATATATGTGATAATAGATTCAGCTTTTGTAGATGTAAGCAGTTAACAATTAAGCATCATGGTTAAGAAAAGAAATATGCATACTATATTATAAAACATTTGACAAAAACTTTTAAAAATCATTTTATATATGAAGTATTGTTTATTGATGCATATTACTTGAAATTCAATATTACAAATAAATAATGCATAAATATAACTTATTAAAGCTCAATACTTGAATTGTGTAACTAACTACAGATAAACATAATCAAATACTGGATAAACATTTCATTTTAAATATAAAAAATCTAAAATGTAATTAGGATAATTATTGTATTCTAACAAAATACTTAATTATTATCTTTATAAAAAAATATATTATTAAATCAAAAATAAATTACTTCCTTATCAAACTTAAATTAAAATATAATAAAAAAAGCTGAATTAAATTACACAATAAAACAAGCATCTTTAAATAGTTAATTTGATACTAAGATCGATATGTTTTTTTTTAATTCTTAATATATCTTCAAATTTATATTTTATTCAAAAATAAAAACATTATCATTTTTCTCAAAACCATATAAAAAACTGTAATATAACATCGACATGAGACATAATAAAACAAGGGAAAATTACATCAAAATGGAACAAACTTTCACCTTATTTCTATTTTGGGGAACCAACTTTCAAAATTATCATTTAGGGGTATCTATCAAACTTTTTGTTTATTTAAGGCCTGTTGAATAGGTAACAGGTAATTTAATATGACTTGGCAAAAAAAATATTTAAACAAATATTACATGGAAATTATTTTTACAGCTCATCATTATAATTAAAAGAAATTAAAATGAATTATGCCTTCACGTCTCCTACCTCAGTCACAATTCTGCCTCTCCATCTTCCTTCAATCGTCTCCGACAGCAGCTGCCTTTCAATCGCCATCGTCGCCCTCTCCGGCAGCCGCTGCCCTCTCCGGCAGCCGCTGCCCTCTCCGGCAGCCGCTGCCCTCTCCGGCAGGCTGTCCTCTCCGCTACCCTTTCCAACAGGTATCCACTATCTGTGATTTTTTGTGTCTGTAATCATACATCATCGGGTATCTGTGTCTTTCTATTAGTCGCGTTAATCTTCTCTGCTGATGTGGTGTTGTTTTTTGATTATATGAACCTAATTATGTTGGTTTCTTGTATCTGTAAGTAAACATGCATACTGGAAAATTCATATAACTTAGATAGATGCAGAGACTTGTAGTTCAAAAGGGAAGATTACAAGCATATCTATATAATACACAAAGGCTGCATTTACACCTACATTTCATGTACAATTTTACATAACACCACATTACCACCACCAGAAAGTAGCCATTAATGTTTTGTATTGAGACCATTACTGTTTTGTGTTTGGGGTATGTAGGCTAAAAATGGAACCAAAGAGAAACTATAAACTAGAGTACCATACTCGAATGAAATGTAAACAAAAAGCCAACAACTTTACTAGTTAAGATAAAACTAAGCAAACTATTTTGCAAATGAAGATGGATTTAATTTAATCCTCTCATGTTTCCGGTTACTTGATGAGTACAACCTTTCTCCTTTGCATGAACAAGGAGTTGACAAAATTGACTACGGGGCCGTTTACTTAACACTTATCCGGTAAGTGCTTATCGTGTAATTTTTCTCACTTGAAGTACATGGCAAGAGTCGAAAATCTTACCCGGTAAGAGCAATGATAAGGATAGAGAGTCTTACCCGATAAGTGATGGTGATGACTCTTACCCGGGTAAGCGTTTACCGGATAAATTGTTGCATACGATACCGTTTTAATATACTACAATCTTACCTGGTAAAATAAATTATAGTGTTGACTCATACCGGTAAGCGCTTACCGGGTAAGCATTTGGGTAAACGGCCCCTACATGTTTCTCTTGTCTCTCCTTTGCAATGGTTAAACTGATGTTAAATTCATATTATGATGCTCCTTAAGGTGGTGTTAAACAATAGTCTTCTTTTAGAACGTAGGGACCGTTTACCAAACTCTTACTCGGGAAAGTGAACACCAAGTCACATTACCTTACCGGATAAATATGGTAAGGACCAAGAATCTTACCCGGTAAGAGCGAGACAAGGACCAAGAGTCTTACTCGGTAAGCAGGGACGGACCCAGAAAATTTTCCATACGGTGGCACCATATAATTAATATAATATAATATACATCTAAAAATAATTACAAAAAATATGGTTTTTATGGTACCGATAAACAACTCGTAAACTTGTACCCGACGCGTTTTCATCTTTTGAAAACGGTCAATATATACCCAAAAATAATTACAAAAAATAAGTTGAGAAACAACTTCTAAATTTGTCCTCGGCGTGTCTTCATCTTTTGGAAACGATCGATTACATCTTCGTTTTTAACATTACTAAGGGCTTCCTTTTCTATGGCGCAAATGAGGGCATAATTCAAAAAATCATCACCAATTCGATTACGTAAATCTGTCTTGACAAGCTTCATYGYCGAAAAKYATCTTTCAACCGTAGYAGTTGCAACAGGCAAAACCAGTGTCAGTTTCAATAACCGGTAGACTAAAGGATGAGAAAGATGCTTTCTTGTTGCAACCATTAATCTGGCGAGGTCGGCAATACCGTTTAAGTTGGCAAATCTGACATCATTATAAACAGAATGATAGTAGATATCAAGTTAATGCTCAAGAATGATCCTTTCCTTGTCTTCAAAATCTCGGGGATACATCTGACTCAACTTCAATAGGCTTGATTTGTTAAACTGAGAAAACGAATTGCGTGGATTCAAAGCCGCCATATTTTGAAGCAAGTCGGTGCTTATCTCACCAAAACGATCACCAAACTCTCGGATCTGCATATCCAAAACAGTGTTGAATATATCATAGTTATAATAATGTTGATTGGTAATGTTCGTCTTTTTCCTTGAATTTCTTGTATTAACATAAGTTTCAGCCATATCCAACTTCACAATCTTATGTTTATCACAAAAAGAGTAGCATTTCTCCAAAACTTGATCAAACCCATTTTCCCTCAACATTTGTAATTGACCTTTGGTTGTTCCTATCAAATCAATAGCTTCCAAGATGTCTTCATCTTTCCTTTGAAGAGCTTGAGACAATAAATTTGTTAATCCTAAGATCGTTGAATTCAAGTGCATATAAAACACAAATTCAAATGTCTTTAAGTATGATAAAAGACCTATTGCTTGAAGCCGACTAGCTCCATTATCACCATCATCTTCGACATATTCAAGCACCTGTATGACCTCTGGAAACAAAGCAATCAAACTCACGATTGTTTTAAGATGAGAATTCCATCGTGTATCTCCAGCTCGAACAAGGGAAATCTCTTGGTTTAACCCTTTACTAGTCTCAATCTCCCCATTTCCAATTTCTTCTTGAATTCTCTCTTTGTGACTTTTTCGTAGCATATCTTTTCGTTTGCAAGAAGAGTTTACAACAGTAACAACCAAAGCAAGCAAATCAAAGAAGTCTTTAACACCTTCGTGTTTTTTTGCAACCGCCATAACTACTAATTGAAGTTGATGGGCAAAACAATGTATATAAAATGCCGAGTCATTATCACTCAAGATCAAAGCTTTCAACCCATTGAACTTACCACTCATGTTGCTAGCACCGTCATAACCTTGTCCTCCTACCTATTTTAAAGATAAATTAAGCTATTTAGCCAAATATTCAATGATATAATTAAGACTTAAAAGCAAATAAATTATTAAGAAATCTTTTTACCTTTGTGAAATTTAATCCATGTTTTGCAAATAAAGCATCTAAGGCAGATTTAAGACTTACAGCAGATGTATCCATGACATGAACAATGCCAACAAATTATCTACTTTTATCCCATGATTCCCACCTTGGTCTCTGAACAAGTAACAAGGCAAACAATATGCTCTATCTACTTTTACACTATATTCCAACCACTGAAATTGATCAAACCAAGTAACAACAAACCGTCTCCCTTTAGCCCCTATAACCTTGGTTGGAAAGATGTGACCTCGTGGTTGACAAGGACCCCTTACCAAGTATTTCTGTCTAATTTCGTCTCTTTGATTTGGATTATAACTTATAATTTTGGGTCTCTCTGATGGATCCCAAGGAAGATCGTTAACATCAATCACATTGTTGGAATTGGATGCATCATTATTACCGGTTGATGATGAAGCTTTTCGCTTCAAATATTTTTCCATAATGAATGAGAATCGTAGATCTAAGTAATGAAAACAATGATAAGTAATCAGTAATGACATTGAGACAATGAGTAAAAGCAATCAACATATGAAAACTAATAGAGGCAGTAACTACTAACTAGACAGTTCACAGTAGCTCAAAGCCTCAAAATTAAAATCACTGTTCACAATTTGTATTTTGCAAATCAATACTCAATAGTCAATAATAGAGGCAGTAACTAGTGAGTCTAGACAGTAGCTCAAATCAAATGCTCAATGCCTCAATCAATTTCATCAAGAATTCAAGAATAAAACGTATACCTAAACCTAATCAAGTAAATAATCAACTAAAACTAAAAATGTATAACTAAAGGCTAAACCTAATAGAATCGATTCTGAAATCTGAATATTGAATAATCGAGAATCGTTCTTCGAGTTTGAGTGAGTTTCGATTCTGATTTCTGAATCATCCGAGTCTTCAAGAATCAAGACTCGTTCCAAAATCGAATCGATTCTTCTTGTTGACAGTATCCTTGGTGGTGGCCCTGGTTGTCGCATGTCGCTCACTCGCTTGTCGTTCACGCTCGTTCGTTCACTTCGTTGGGCCGTCTTACACAGTCACACTCACCGCTTCACGTTCACGCCTTCACAGCTTCACTCTCGTCTCGTCGCAATCGCACACCTGGTCACCTGCACAAGAAATTAGAAAAGCCTTAAGCCTGCCAGGAGCCCAGGAGGTAATAATTTGTATATTGTGCTTAATCATATAATTGGGCTTTGCATTTTATTAATGTTAATAAGTTAATTGGGCTTTGCATTTTATTAAGTTAGACAATTGGGCTTTATTTTGTTTGGGTTTTAATTGTTATGTTTGAATACGGTAGCACCTTTCAAAATAATACGGTGGCACCTTCCAAAATAATACGGTAGCACCGTTGAGAAACCTAAAAAATTTACCCTTCGGTGGCGAAATAATACGGTGGCACGTGCCACTGGTGGCACCCATACAGGTCCGCCCATGCCGGTAAGTGAGGGTGACGACTCTTACCACGGTAAGCACTTACCGGGTAAATTGTTGCATACAATACCGTTTGGTTGGACTAAAATCTTACCCGGTAAGTCAATGATAGTGTTAAATTTTGCGGGTAAACATTTACCGGGTAAGTGTTTGGTAAACGGGCCCTTACATTGATTTGACTCGTAAAGAAACTTTCACATGGAATAGTTGCTTATGCAATTAAGCATACAAGACAATTGAAGGGATGGAGGGATGGTTGATATGTCTAGATTATGTACACCAAAAACCTGAGCATATACAACTGTACAAGATCTATTTTATATGAAAAAGTTCATAAAAGGTAGGAAAGGGACCTGTCCAAAATGTCCAAGTCGATCTTTTTCACACCCAGGATCGAACACTATATATTATTGCCTTGGTTAGATTTTGAGGATCAAAAAAGTCATTTTGTCAACAAGAAACGTCTCTCCACAACCATTGTATTATTGAGTTGGATTCTCCTCTTTATTTCAATGATCATAGAATTAAAAACTTAATGAACAAATGAACTTGACCCAAGTAATAAAGTTGCATAAATTTTTAAAAGTTGCATAAAGTTGTTCACCAAATCTGCCACAATGCCATTATCCTCCAACTTCATCCCTCTCATTATTGTTATTAGTTATCTAAGGGGGAAATTAAGCATGAAAAGTTTAGTGACATCTTTTGGCAAGGAGGGAAATATAAAGTAGATACATACAATTATCTGGATTCATAATTCTTTTTAGGTTGTAGAGCATAAAGCAACTACTTGGGATTAATTTTAGTAGCCATTAGACGTAATAATGTAAACCGATGAATATACGTCAAACGAAAAAACATTGTCAGGATAGAAGGCAATCTATAGAAGGCAGTCAAGTTCCAAAAAGTTTGATAGTACACCATCAAAATTACAAAGCCGATTAAAGCCTACATGATATATAAAAGAGGAGATGCATTATTTTCATGTGATTGCAATGTGTTTGCTACCATTATTTTCATATTGAGATTTTCAAAAAGTTTATTTTCAGATCCGAAGAGAACCAATATGAAGATCAATTTGGCTATAAATCATGGTGGCATGTTCCAAACAAATCCATTCTATTATGGAGGTAAAGTTGCATATTTGAAAGATTTCGATGTAAGTAACATAGGTATTAGAAGGCTAAGACAAAGCATTGAAGATTTTACTTCATCTGAAGTTAGTCGAATGTATTATAGGGTTCCTAACACAGATTTGGAAAAAGGATTGAAACCCCTTGATAGTGACAAAGATGTTGAAAGGTTGTTTAGTTATGGTATGTTGTCGGCACAATTGGAAATTTTTATAGATCATTTTAACATTGATATTAGTGAGTTCTTGAATAGTAATTATGATGATACCATTGAAGAGACCGGTAGTGATGATGAGATTAGTTTTTCCGATGTTGATGATGACGAGGTTGCTAGTGTAGATCATTTATCGGAAGGGGATGATGAGATTAGAGAGGTTAGAATGAGAAAAATCAATAGGGAAGTGGAAGATGTGAATGTTGAACATGCAATACATTCTTGTAATGCAAATGTTCGAGTCCCTAGAGATTGCAACATGGAAAGAGAAAATGAGGTACAACCACCACCATACCAACATGATGATTTTTTGATAGAATTATGTGATGAGTACGATAGGGATAGGTTTGTTGAAGACGTCGTTAATTCCGCAAACGAAAATGAAATGGTTGAAGATGATGAGGCCAAAACCAATGAACTTCCAATTCACAATCCAAATGTTCCGTGGAATTTAATGAAACCTCAAGTTGGTGAACGATATGCATCGGCCTTGGAGTTAAAGAATTGCTCGACAAATTATACACTTTCAAATGGCCTCAACTTAGGTATGCCACTTATCTTGTTTACTTACATGCATTTATTATTTTATTACTAACGTTTTTCTGACATATTGTTATCAATGAAGGTATCTAAAAAACAGCAAAGACAAGTTACATGTTGTGTGTGGACCGCCTAAAAAAGGATATGAAAGTAGTTGTCCATGGAGATTATGGGCATCTTGGATGAAGGATGAAAAATCATTCCAAGTCAAGTCACTAAATGATGAGCACAAGTGTGGGAGAAATTACATGTTAGGTTMACTTGTGAATTCCAATTGGATTGCTAAGCAATATGGGAGGAAGATTAGACAAAATCCATCTATCAAGTTAGTTGATTTGAAGGAATCCATTCTAAAAAAATATAAGTGCATTGTTCAGTTGGGTCAATGCCAAAGGGCTAAGGCCAAAGCATTGGGGGAAGTAGAAACGACTCTAATTGAGCATTATGGAAAGTTATGGGACTACAGTGAGGAGATTAGAAGGAGTAATCCAGGATCAACGGTTAAAATTAGTATCGAGATAGGACCAAATAATAGAAATTATTTACAAATATTTTATGTGTGTTTTAAGGGTATTAAAGAAGGTTGGTTGTCAGGGTGTAGGAGATTCATTGGCTTGGATGGATGTTTTCTAAAAACCGTATGCAAGGGAGAATTGTTAAGTGCCATAGGAAAAGATGGTAACAACCAAATATATCTTCTTGCATGGGCAGTGGTGGAGGTTGAAAATAAAGATAGTTGGAAGTGGTTTTTAAATTTTCTAATGGAGGACATTGGATTGACCGATGGGTTAGGGGTAACATTGATGTCAGATCAACATAAGGTAAATAGTATACTAATAATTAACTGCACACACTTACCAATCTATTATGAATGTGATCTTCTAATTAGTTAATTGCATTATGCTAATACAGGGACTTGTTGAAGCTGTTAAAGAGGTATTCCCACTTGCTGAGCATCGTCAATGTGCTAGACACATATACGCCAATTTTAGGAAGAAGTACACCGGTATCCAATTCAGATCTTTGTTTTGGGTTGCATCTAAGTCAGGGACACCACAAGAATTTGAAAGAATTATGCAAGAAATTAAAAGTTTGTCTCCCCATGCTTATGAACATTTGATGGAAAGACAACCGTCAACATGGTCAAGGGCTTTTTTCAAGATCGCCACATCATGTGATGCTGTAGAAACCGGAGCAAGTGAGTGTTTTAACTCTTTGATTTTGTCATCTAGGAGAAAACCTATAATAACAAAGCTAGAGGAGATTAGAGCTCTTGTGATGGAAAGAATGGTTAGGATGAACAACAAAGCACGCAACTGCGATGATGAAATCTGTCCAAATATAAGAAAGAAAGTTGAGCAAAATAAGGAGCTAATGCAGTATGTTTATGATTATTATGCTTTATGCATATAAAGTAATTTGTTTCATAAATATTAGATTATGGTTTGCTATTTTTTTTTTGCAGATTTTGGCGTGTTGCTCCCAATGGAGGGAATCTTTTTGAAGTAAGACAAGGACTAGAGGGTTTTGTTGTCGACACTCAGTGTAGAACATGCACTTGCAGAACTTGGCAAGTTTCTGGAATTCCTTGTCCGTATGCTGTTGCAGCCATATACTTCATTCACCAAGATCCAGCTAAGTTTGTGTCTCCTTTCTTCTCAAAAGTAAAGTTCAGTAATACATATAATCATAGGATCAATCCTTTGAATGGGATTAAAATTTGGCCAAGGACAGATTTTGCCAAACTTTTCCCCCCAAAGTCTAGACGCATGCCTAGCAGACCTACAATAGCCAGAAGGAAAGATGCAAGTGAAGGAAGGAGTCACACTAGAAGAAATGCATATGGCCATGAAGTTGTAGCCAAATCGGGGAGAAAGATGACTTGCAGAAATTGTTTGGAGGTAGGACATAATTCTAGGAGTTGTAAAAATAAAAAGAAAGATGCACTGATTTGTCCAAAAAATCCAGTTGGTAGACCGAGAAAAAACAACATAGAAGAGAAATATTTAGTTATTGGAAGCAATATAAGAGGAAGGGTTCAAGAGGTACGAGCTCACGAGATACGATTATAGGAGTAAGCATAATAATTATGATTCACGTTGTGTTTGAATGAATCAAATATTGTAGCTAAAAGTATGTTTATTTTGCAGATTTCACAGGTTAGTTTTGAGACGAGTATACCAATTGCTGTTGGGGAAGGTATTTTCAATATGTATAATCACACTCTATTTGCATATTAGCATATAACTTGCATATTTGCACTAACTTGCATATGTTTACATAGGGCAAGTTGATACAGGTGATGCACAAATTCCTGATGAAGTTTGATCAGTTCCATAGTTTACAGTTGATGGTTGACTCAGATAAGGGTGATTCAAGCAGTCGAAGATTGAAAATTTTCAACCATTTTTTTTGTAACAATGTCTTGTCATCTACTTTATTCTAATCTTGATGATTTGAACGTTGTGAACAAACTTTTATTTTGGTTTGATTTGCCAAATTTGATTTAAACTTTAAAATTGATATGGATTGGTTGGATATAAAAATCTTGAATTTGATATTTATTTTTTATTGCATCAATTAATTTTTTTATTGCATGTCACACCCCGCTAAAATGGAAACACGAGATGTAACAGGCAAGCGAGTCATAGCAACAGTTATTAAATAACACCATTCCAAGTTGTTCAAAAACAAAACAAGTTCATTGACATAACTGAGATTATTACTAAATACACTTTTCTCAAAATACTTCAAATTCAGACTTTAATCGATCTTGCCACGAGTATGCTCCCAAAAATCCAACCAACCTTACTTAGG